TCTGAAGAGGAAGATTTCTTAATCAGAGCAGCACTTTTTGAAATATTTTCCTTATCCCCAAGTCTTATGCCATATAAGAGTTCCAAAGCTTGTCTTTTAATAGTTTACTGGTCTACTAAAGGTAATGCTGAGCCTTAGACTGTGTTACCTTGGTTCTCTTTTTCATTTACATATTATCTTTCAGTTGTTTAACTGCTTTCTGTTGTCAGCTGTATAGAAGTTCCTTCCGTATAGCCCCCTTCTGCTCTTATCAGAAAGACCTTTCCACTCATCTCATCAGCTTAGGAAAATTTCACGCACATGCCCACACATATACAACACTTACTTACAGTACATTGCTTTGAAGCTCTGCCAGTCCCTTCTGCTCTTATCAGAAAGACCTTTCCACTCATCTCATCAGCTTAGGAAAATTTCACGCACATGCCCACACATATACAACACTTACTTACATTGCTTTGAAGCTCTGCCAATAGTAGTCCAGTACTTTTTTCTTATTGTCTTCCAAAAATAATGGCTTTACGGTAACAGTAATAATGACACTCATAGCCACCTAGAAATGCCATTCCCATACCAATGTGAGTTTCATGTGTAGCTGCAAGCTTGTGAGCAACTAACACAGCTAACTCATTTAAATTTCTCACTGAGGAGGCTCACAGTTGCTAAGGTTCCAGCATGGCAGATCCCTGCCGTGACCATTTGGGACTTTTATTCATAATTTTTCTACCCTGTGCCTGTGGAAGTGAATTTTATTGACCAAATATTTCATTGAATTCTAGTGATTTGTAGTGATCTAAATAAAGGTACCACCTCGTCTACCTTTGGTTTGAATTGCTAAGGTAAAGTTCTACAGAAGGAATCGATACTTAGATTTGAGTAAACCTTGTCAGGATCAAAGAGTACTCTTAGTGACCTCTTCTGGCTGTGGCCCTTCCCAATATACACAACATGTTGTCTCAACATGGGACTGAAATTTGGCCAGGGCTGTTCTTCGGTCATATTTTCTAAAGAGCTATTTTCCTGTTTGGTAAACACAGACTTCTGCAAATTAGAGATGGGGTTATAGCGATGACTTGTTTTCAAGACCTGAGAAAGGCAGGAGGACCATGTCTTCTGGGAAAACATTGTGAATGCTCTTCTCTGAGAGAAATAGCTTGTATCATCTCATTTTGTCATCTTGGGGAGGAAAGGCATGGTTGTTGTAATGTACAGTCACAGTGAGAAATTCTGTGCATAGCATCACCACCTTCAGAGGCATTTAGTGGGGATATGGGAGAGGGCCTTCTCTGTTGCTCCTCCCAGACTTTGGAACTCCCTCCCACAAGAGGCCAGGTTGGCCCCATCTTTGCTGTCTTTCTGCAAGCAGGCAAAGACCTTTCTCTTCAGGCAAGTGTTCCCTCGGTGACTAGCTGCCTGAGTGGGGCTGTTAAATAGATTGTTGTGCCTTCCTGCATTGAATATTTTTTTGGGGGGGAGGTCTTTTTTTGTTTACCATGCTTTAGTGTGTTATTTGACCCTTTTTAGTATTTGTCTATTTATTGTTTTTAGCTTTAAATATTCTCTCTTAATGATGTAAGCCGCCTTGGGGGTTTGTTTGTTTGAGAAAAAAGGCAAGTTATAAACAAACAAACAAAGCATATTACCATTTGTGTTTAGTAAGTAAGGCGATACAAACATGTGTGCTTTTTATCCGTGAGTAACGTGAGGTTGCCTGCATGTAACATCATGATGGCTGAGTTTTTCAGGAATACTTGCAGGGGAAATGATAGCATTCAGTCCTGCATTTTTAATAGCTGTTGTTTGGGTTTCAACATTTCTGTTGGGAGTGTGTCAGAATATAAATGTATTATAAATCCTGGCTTGGCAATTGTTAGAATAAAGGGCCCAAAAATCAGACTTTAAGCAGGTAACCTCAGTGATTCTCTTTAGAATTACATTTTTGAAGAATACTTCCAATTCAGTAAAGACAGTTTTCCATTTTTGCTTGCATAGTTATACATAGTGTAGATTGAAATTTCAAGATGAACAAGGCTGATTATTATTTTAGGGAAATCAGTTCACTATCTGTAGCACCTGAAAGAAAAGTCTTCTAGTTGAATATGTACTTTTAAGGTTGATTGGTTTGAATGTGATTAAGAATAAAGAAATTTCTGTTATACAAATGTGAATAGAAAATTGGATTCTTAATGCAACCTGGAGAAACTGGAGTGTAGCAGTGGTAGTGTTGATTACAGTGTTAGAATGCAAACACTGGGCAAACCTGATGTCAAATCTATACTTATCCATGAAGCTTCTGCCTAACCTTGTAGTATTCACATACTCTCACCCAAAGTAACCTCATGAGGTTGTTATGAAGATAAAAATGAGGAAGAGGACCAACTGTATGCAACCTTGAGCTGCTTGAAGGAAAGAGGTGATATATAACTGTGATTGATGGGTATCGTTAGCTAGTTTTTTGTGTGCAATGACACAGTGACAGATAACTATCCCACACACTACACCAAAACACACACAGAGTTCTAATTGCTGTCCTCTGAAGACATCGGCCACAGAGACTGGTGAAACATTAGGAAGAAAAACCTCCAGAAAACAGCCAGAAAAACCTACAACAACCAGTTTCTGCAGTCATTGTGTGCTTTCAGAATGCTACACATATCTTGGAAGTACACATGATGAAAACATGTTTTCCGGCTCAGATCTGCAAAGAAGTTTGGGAATTTTCCTTCAGATGTGCTGAATTTCACTGGGTCTCGGAACCACATTTCAAATGTAGGAAACAGCCCCTCATCTCCTCAACCAAGCAAAACAGAAGTCTGTAATTCACTGGTCTGGTGTTTCACTGGCTGTTGTTCTGGATAAAATTCCCTTTGCTACACAGTGGAAGTACAGAGATCCACAGAGTAGAATAGCTTCAAGTTCCCCAGAGTCCACCCCTTTCTCATTAACTGGCACTTACAGTCTTCATTAACTCACTCTGAGACACTTGTACCAGAAAGAATAAAAATGTTTCATTACTTACAATTGTGAACAGAACTGTAATGAGCAAATAACTCAACAGACTTCAGCAGACTAAAGAGAGGGGAAAAGAACACTCAGCAAAGAGGTGGAACTCTATTTGAATTCAGAGACCGGAAGCAACGATTGGTTAGTGCTAGACAGAGTGATAGTCACCCCAGCCCAGAAAAGTCTTTCTCAGTCACTCAAATCAAATCACAGGCAGTATGTGAAACTCCCAACAGTGATATCCAGTGTAAACACAGTCTAAAAAAAAGTCTGGGGTTTCCCACTCCACTCCATGGCTATCCAGCTCGTTTGGATGTGTGGCACTAAAACAACAAATCACACCTTATTCTTCAGCTCTAGAAAGGAAGGATGTGCTTATTTGAGTGCTGCACTCAAAATAAAGTGAAAATATCATCTTAGCCTTCCTCTTAATTTTGGGGCTGTAGGAAGAGCACACGTGCTCCCTGTAGTCATGTTGTGTTTCATTGTCTTACATGCCTCCAAAGTACAGGTTGGGGACAATACATGTTCTCTTCCCACCCCTAAGGCAGAGAAGAAGGCTGTAATTTACCATGCTCGTCATGGCTTCTGGAACTACATAACAGATTTCCACCTTCTTGTGCTTTCTGTTTTTATGTTTTGCAAGGGCTGCTGTATCCATGTGTACATGTTTGAGAGAGTCTACATGTACACATAGTTTAGGATTAGGATTTGAAGGCATATTAACGTTTATAATTCACTGGTACTTGAGCTCAGGATACCACAAACACTGAAGCAGAATTCATATTTGTGGTCTGAGGGTAATTCTATTAGGGGGGAAAAGTTGTTGGTAAGATTTCTGAGGAAGCAACCAAACCATGAGAATTGACCCTGGTAAATTTTAACATAGCCAAGTGCTGTTCATTGTCAAAAGAAATTTGCTATAGGATGCTTTTAACAATATAGAGGGGCAAAGTATTGAGGTCAGCCTCTTAGAACAACAATGCCGTGGAGAGAAGTACTTACAGAAGGGAAGTAGAAAGAGAGAAGAGCTCTTCCAGTAGGTTTTGCTGTAACTGGACAAAGTGCATTCATAAGATGTCCGTTTGTAAAGATCACAGGTAAATGTATTACTTCATATTGAACTGGAATTGAATGTACATAGAAATGTGCTGAAATGCCACCATGCTGTCCAGCTTTGAAAAGCAAGATATGAGTATTGAGTGTTGTTAAAAATATATACGATCTGATTGTTTATGGAGAATGATAATGATAAGGAACAGTTTTTATAACATCTGGTTGAAATAATACCTGTAATCCTGTGGTGCAGTTATGTAAATGATGTAACTTTTGGAAGCCAATTTCCACGACTCTACATGCAGCAGATAATGTCTATGGAGATTTCTTAACTTACAGCAATTTGCATCTAAACGTAATGCCATTTACATATATGTACAACAGGACATGGTGGCGCTGCGGGTTAAACCGCAGAAGCCTCTATGCTGCAAGGTCAGAAGACCAGCAGTCATAAGTTCGAATCCACACGATGGAGTGAGCTCCCATCACTTGTCCCAGCTCCTGCCAACCTAGCAGTTCAAAAGCATGCAAATGCGAGTAGATAAATAGGTACCACCTCGATGGGAAGGTAATGGCGTTCCTTGTCTAGTCGTGCTGGCCACGTGACCATCTGGTGAAATTAAAAGGAAAAAATGATTATGTCATACTGCAATACACCTGTTTACAATAAGAGGCAACAATTCTTTAAAAAGTGAGCCAACTAGCTCTGTGCTTTATGAATTTGTGCAGCAACTCCATTTCTATAAATATGTGGATTGCATGCTTAGCAAATGTAATGGTTAAAGTATGTGATTAATGTTGTTCTACAAGGATATATGGGATATACTATATGTATTTGGGGGAATAAGAAATAGATGCAAATTTATTTCAGTATGACTTCTGGAAAGGAATTTTGAATTCTAAAGTATGAATACTGTTTCCCCCCTCCTCAACTTTTTTTACAGGTATATAGAAATCTTAAAGGAGCATAAACCTAAGCTGGTTTGGGATGAACAAATAGCTGAACATTATTTTGAATACAAAAAGTGAGTTTCAACCATTAATGCTTTCCTTCTTTACTTAACCCAGTGAATGGAGAATTAAATTCAGGAGGGAAGCTGCTCCCACTTTTCTCCTCCTTCAGGGAACAGAAAAAATATTGGTTATTTTTAACAAAACAAACTGTCTGAAACTATAGTAATTTCTTTGAAGAGTTACCAGTGAAATGAGATCTTACAGTAAGTAAAATTAGATCAGTAGAATTGTGTTACTTATGTATTAAGCAAGCACTCACTTCTTAACAAAAATAAGACCATCAAACAAGTCTTAATTATGAAAATATTGATTTTTATAGCAATCTACATAGTATTATTCAAATGAACCCAAAGCAATTAATTTTGTTTTAGTGCTAGTGGAAATTAAACATCAGCCATCTATTGATACATTCTGTATACATTTACATCTGAAATACTGAGTTCATCAATGAGCACTTATAAAACATAGTGTGTAACTGTTGTGGGATAATTATATGATTATATGACCTGTTTCAGATTGCAGCTATTTCTGGCATAGTGTGTTGATTTTTTTTCTTTGAATTTAATTATTTTATTGTATGAGCAGTCCAATCATACCCTGCTCTCCCTGTCCACTCCAGTTCTCTGGGAAAGAACAGATCTGGAAGCAAATGGATAAGTTATCTCTTTCATAATATTATCCATTTCCCTAGCTTCTCTCTCTCTCTCTCTCTCTCTCTCGCTCTCTCTCTTTCTCTTATTTTCTTTCTCTGTTATGTTTTGCAGAAATAAAGGAGGCAAGCATGCAGTCTTCTACCCGACTTTAAAGGTACATATATCTGTACTTTTATTTTGAAACTATAATACTGAGCAGCGTGGCCCAAAAGCCGCACTTGAGTTGTACTGAACATGTGACCTTATTTTATAGACAGATACTCTATTACTTGAATGAACTGGGTCACCTAGCATTACATTCTTTGTTTGTCAAATTGTCAGAATACTTAGTTAAAATTAATTAGAAATTATTTAGTTCAATAGCTTCTTCTGAAATAAAATGGCACCAGATGAACAAGCTAAAACGTTGATGCCACTTGCAATCTGTTTGTCTTTAAGGTGCCCATTTTTGCTGCTGAAGACTAATAAAGCTGTCTTCTCCTGGAAATTTAAAAAAATAAAACGAAGGCTTTCTCTTTTACTTGATTTTTTGCATCTATACAACCTTGCAACAGTCTTCCAGCACCAGTTAATTTCTAATGTATAAAAAAGTAATTATCCATAATTTTCTCATCTGTTTTGCAGTCTATCCAACTGCGTCTGGAGCTTGCAAAGGAATTGGGCACAGGAATAGCCATCTGGGAACTGGGCCAAGGCCTGGATTATTTTTATGACTTGTTTTAAAATAAGACATTTCCATCTTCATCAACTGGAGCCCGGTGGGGGATGCAGAAATTTATTTTGGAGGGGGCTAATGTAATTTATATGGAATCAGATTCACATTCTTTTGCAATAAAGAGCCTCCTTTTCAATTACTGTGTTTTATGTAATGCATGGAGATGGGCAATTAATTATAGAGCAGGGGAAGCTGCGAACACCAGTCTGCCAGTAAAGTGACTGGAGAGTTGACTACGGTAAGAGAAGGTAAGAGTTCTTAATTTTTAAAAAAGTGATTTTAAAAAACATTCTGATGTTTAAAAGTAATTTATAATGTATGAACTGATCCTGTAGTATTCATAAGAGTTCGGTGAGAAATATTTCCATGTGCACAAGGACAGCAGTGTTCAAAAATGGAATGCCTAACACGAATGGAACCTTCGGCAGCTTAAAGGCTTGCAGGCATTTCAATTGCACCAAAACCAATTTAGCTGCCATTAAATCTAAACGTTAATGCAGAAAGCAGCAAATATTTATTTAGTCATGAAATCAGAGTTAAGCAGCAGGTTTACTTTAAAGTTAAATCAAAGGCCTCTTGTTCTGTCTACACAGCAAATGTGAGTCTTGTATCATTTTTATCTTATTTATAGACTTCTCCAGATGACCCTAAGATTGTAGTTTAATCTTTTGGGTACTCAGTGTGTTGCAGTGGATAGAGTGGCAGACTGGGACTCTGGAGACCAGAATTTAAATCCCTACTCGGCCATAGAAAGTCAATGGGGGAGTGGAACTGTTAAAACCACTTCTTAGATATCTTGCTTATCTTGAAAGCCCTATAAGGGATGTTGTTCCCAGCTTGATGGCACATAACTAACTAAAACCACTTTTACAGTTCTTTTGCACTTGTTGACTCACACAACTCCACATGATAATGGTTGAACCAAGTCTTCTATAATCATGTATATTTTCCATTTTGTTTATAGGCTATTGGTTTAATTAAGTTCAGTGCTAAATGATAAGTTATTTAAATATTATAAATGTGGAGAGAGGAGAAACTGTTGAATTTTTATATGTGACAAACATGGAAGGAGGAACCACTGAAGACTTACATATTTTATGCATTTGAATATGTTTACAAATAATACAAATTAGGCATAGAGGGAGATACATAATTTAAATTTGTATCCACAAATCTACTATCTCACTTCAGATTCTGCAGAGACATCTGTATGCTTTCTAGAGCTCAAAAATAGCTTACCACATCTCACTACACCATCTTCTGTTGTTTCTTTACCCAACTCAGATAATATAAGCAAGAACAGAGAAAAGTATCTTCTCCCACATGAGTGACAACTATCACAAGTGTTGTTGTGGGGTTTTCGGGCTCTTTGGCCGTGTTCTGAAGGTTGTTCTTCCTAATGTATCACAATCCGTGTTGTGAAGGTGGTTCTTCCTAACGTATCACAACTGTCTCTGAGTATTTTCTAGTAATTCTGGGGTAATTACTTCTGATTTCCACAACATGTGTGGCTGGCAGCTATATTAGTGACTTAAAGTAAAGAATTTAAGGCAGTCATTCAGACCCATTAATCCTTTTCTGTACAAATCCAGACTCATTCACAGCAGTCTGATAGAAATTCCATAACCATAGCCTTTCTCAGGCAGATGCTATCTTCAGTGTTTTAAGGATAAGTCTTTTCACGTAAAGGAAAGAATAAATGAGCAGGTCAATAAAGACCCTGAGAATATAAAATAGAATGTTATTTCCTCAGCATCCACATAATCCCTCAACCTATTGTGTTTAGGATTTCCAGTCCATATATATTGATAGTTTTCAAAGTAGTAGCCGTATTAGTCTGTGCAAGCATGTCAGATATGCAACAACACAACACAAAACACAAACAAAAAAGCACAAGAGTCTAAAATGTTGTGGCATCTGTAATGGCAATATTTTAATGTGAGCTTTCATGAATCTAGTCCACTTCCTAAGACATAAGAATGAGATAATGAATAAAATGACAATGGTTAGTTACTAAAGGAATAGGCTACCAGACTTTGAACAGCACAGTTGACACAAGTGGCAAACTGTGTGAATTGGTTTGGCATTTTACACTTAGTAATGATCTAAGAATATCAATCATTATGACATTAATACTGCCATATAGTCTAATTCTTATGTCAAAGGAAGTGGACTCTATCCATGAAAGCTGACATTAACGTATAGCAAAATGCCTTAAAGTTCCAATGTTTTTGTCTCTTGTTTTGTTTTGTTTCTTGTCTGATATATAAGTTACACAAAATTTAGGATATAAGGTTTTCCAAAGCTTCCATATGTTTCCAAACCCCTCCCTCCCAGTACGGAAAGAAGTAAAAATATTTCTTCAAACCAGAAACTGACAGTTTTGATTTCTAAGACAATATTTCACTAACAGGTTAGACAAGCAGGGTTATATTTTACAACATCACTGAATGTCAGTCACCTAAGAAGTGCCCCATTCTTACAGTGCTTCACTTGTGCAGCAATAGTGGAAAACACACACACACACATACACATTCCCTTAGTATCCCAAAACACACAGTTATGAAATTTCAGCAGTTATAATTAGAGATGGGGGTATTTGTATACGAATATCCCCACGCAGCTGGACAATGTGGGTCCCTGTGGCTGGACCATCCACTCACACGTTTGGCAGTGGTGGTGGCAGCCTCGCTCAGCCTTCCAGTCACCCCTGGAGCCCTGCTCTCTTCCTGCTCGGCTAGCCACTCCAGGCAGGGGGAGAGAGAATAAGTCTCTCTGCACGGCTGCCGAGTGGCCATTCGAGCAGGAAGACAATGGGGCTCCGGGAGTGATTGGAAGGATGAGCGAGGCTGCCACTGCTGCCAGATGCATGAGTGGATGGTCCAGCCCCCAGGGGCCAGACCCTCATTAAGTTCAGCTGCATAGGAATATTCCTATTCGTATATGAATCCTCCCATCTCTAGTTATAATCCTGTGCAAATTCACATTTCCGTGACAGTTCTAAAAATCCAAACTGCCATGCTGTTGAGATATAGGTGCCTGATGTCACCCACAGATCCTTTCATTAATAAACAGTTCCAAAAGCACTTTTACCTCACCCCCATTTTTAAAGAAGGTGTGTCCTTTTTGCTGCCACAAAGCATTTTCTCATGCAGATTAACCAAAATTTCTAGCCGTATTGTCTCTCTTTCTTCCTCTGCAATCCTAGAAATGGCTCTCTGTGCCCAACCTTTGTTGGGAGACACATTATCCATCCATCCATCCATTTTATATATCACCCCATATATTGCCCTGAGCAGTTTACACAAAGCCAGCTCTCACAAATCCTCAATAACAAGTATGTTTCAAAGACAATACAGTAATACTACAGACAATAATGAGAACCATAGATATGAATAACCATACAAAAATCTAAAATTAAGGATGAGCCAGACCAGTCTTCGCAATGTGGACGACCAAAGTTCCTCTCCCCCTTTCTGCTCATCATCCAGACCACTTTACACCTTGCGGTCCTAAACTGAGGCAGACAACAATCTCTCACCTCTATAACACACTGTTTATTTGTGCCGCTGGAGCTTGTCTCTGGAACTGATGCTTTATGAGGTTCCTTTGAGGTAAACAAGTCTGTAATTAAATGTTTACCTACTTGTGACTGAAATCCCACTATATGTGTTCTTCAAAGCAAAGTAAAGCAACTTCATTCAGACTAGGAATGCTTCCGTAAGATCCTCTACTCTCGTTCAGCCCTACACATCCCACTTTTCACAGTAAACTTACACATGCTACATCAGCCTAACTTTTATTAGTGAATCGCCACAGGTTAAGTTAGCATAGGCATTCGGTATTGCATAGTGAGTCACGTGACAAATATGTAATAGCAAAAGGCTACGATGATTTCTTATCTGCCAGCAGGCAAAACTAACAGGATTCTGGCCTGTGTCTCTAGTACTTGGCTAGCTCTTGGATCCCAGCTTACACTTTCTCCTGCCATCTGTGCTGGAGTGAAAAGTCTGTAAGTGGCTCCTGACTTTCAGGTTGCAAGTTATTTTCTCCTATAGCACTCACTTCTAGTGTGGAGCATACATCCTCCTGTTCCAACTCCTGCAGACACGATTTCCATTTATGGTACTTTTCTTCCAGCCTGTTACTCTTGTCCTAGTGACCAGAAGGCTCAGGAGGAAACAAATGCTTTGGTTTTTTGAGGTGTCGGCTGTACAACACCTTAGTGTACACATCTTAGCTGCTTTTCAGGCACCTTGCAGTGAGGTTTTTGGCACAAGCTTCATTCCCCAAAGTGACTGAATAAAACAAGTTCTTGCCTCTTGGCGTCAAGACCGTGCTGCAGTTGGAAGACTTCTGCATCCTCAGATATGTCTCATTAAATCACAGAAAGTTCCACTTATTGCTGGCTTTGCTATTGGGAGGATGCTTCCCCTCCTTGCTTCAAGATGCTGGAACATCAACCTCATTTGGACTAGGAATTCTTCCAGAAGATCCTCTACTCTCGGTCAGCCCTACCCATCCCACTTTTGACACTAAAGTTACACATGCTATATTTCCCTGAGCAATGGGAAGTTCCAGGGATGGCACAAGGTTTCTGTTGGAAGATGAGATTAAATGCCAGATGTTAGTTTCAAATTTGAATTATTTGAGAGACGGGACATATTGAGTCTAGGTGGAGTCAAAGCAGATAGACCAAGCTACCTTGAGAAAATCCAGTGTCTGCCTTCCAGAGCAGTATCCCTGATAGTTTGCAGACCTCAGAACTAGCTTTCTGTCTCCTGTAATCTCTCTAACAATAAATCACAAGATCCCTTTGGAAGCAGCACTATTCTGTTTAAGAGCTTTAGGTAGCAATTCTGATCCCAGATAAGAAAGCCAGATCCCTTCTCAACAAGCTGAAACAGAGGATCTGAGAAAAACTGAGATACAGAGTGGCAAATTTGCTATAGTGCGCAAATGGGTGGTTGCAGTTACAATACAGATGTTCTTAGAGGAGACTGTTTTACCTGTCTTCAAGACTGGTTTCATCACTGGAACCGCCAGAGATCTAAGGAAAGAGGCAGCTTGAAACTTGGTGGGATGGAAGTACTAATAAATCTTAGACTATTTAAATTCTGCTGTGGTTTATATCCC